TGGATTTGGTAATACATAACCAACTAAACCCGATAAAATTGAAAACCAAACTGAGGTTTCTTCACAAGTTAACTGCGTTAATGAAAGTTTAAAAATACAAAAAGCCAATAAAATCAGAATTAACACCATTTGTGACATGAAAACTACTTCAGACCGTGGTACATTCACGTTATTGCAAAATTTTCATGATTTTTTCTCCATATGATTTTCGTCATACACAAAATCGGTAACTATAGTTCCATCAGTCTCGTCAACTACTGTGTCATTCATTTCAATTTCCCTACCGCTTTCCCTCACTCTCGAACTTGCAGAATGAAAAATATATATCATATATAAAAAAAATTAATTAAGCATCTGAACAGTAATAAATTTCATATCGTGTATAACCTGTATAGACACTCGGTTTATTATCATCATCAAAATCATAGTGCATTTCCAAAACATAATTGGCTGGGACATGATCAGTTTTGGCATGATACACAATTTTCTTCACAGAATCTTCTCTTATTATTTTTTGAATCTCATTGGGTAGTTCACTGCTGGTTAGATCCATTTGAACTCCTGGTTGACGTTTGGGCACTAAGACTAGCTTGGGAAGACAAAGACCGCGCTTGCTGGGTAACATTACTGATGTATTTGAATCGTTGAAAGTAGATGAATTGGTCAATCACGGGGAAGAACCTCCTCAAAGTGCACAACTCTTCTTCAGAAAGTGTAACTTGTTCTTTTCGTTGAACTACTTGGCCTCTACAATCAATGCGTTCAATCCTGGTCAATGAAATCTTTATGTTACTTTCTGGTGTCATCCAAGCACAAAGAACTGAATTTGGAGATATGTATGTCTCCACTTTCCCCTGACGCTCGTTGTTGACACTCATTTTTCAACCAATCAAAGAACGCTTTCGACTTTTTTAATGCACAATGATTTTTAGAGTTATGGTGCGGTAGGTGTTTGTTACAATTCACAAAATTCTTGAAATATAATTGTTCGACTCGTGGACAGCCCAAATCGTCAAGATTCACAACTTTACGGTCTAAGTATTTGGATAAAAAATCAGCTTTTTCTTTTCCTTTGGCGTAGAATACAGCATTGGGGTTTCTTAAGACAAAACTTTGAATGATTTGGTTCAAATTCAGGTATAAATAATCACCGCTATCCCAATGAAGTCCGTGCAAATAATTTGTCAGCCAGTTGTAGGCTTTTTGTTCAGATTTTGGAAGGGAATTGAAATTAACTGGAGGTAGAAAAACTAGGGAATCACTGTAGTCGGAAGTTGTTATAGCTAATTCTTTTACTATAAATGTGTTTTTCTGGTGTCGAAATCCCTCAAAATCCACCACAACTGATTTTTCCTTCAGCATTCTAATAAATGGTAGAGTTTCGGTTTTTTCAGTTTGATATACAAACAAAACGTAATTCCACTCAAGTGACCAATCAAACTACTGTTGCATTTCCATGGTAAAACATAGCAGTATGTGGGACCAGTGTTATAAACTTCGCGGACAAAACCGGCGGCATCGTGTAAAATAGCATGCATTCGTAAAATTTTCGAATCATTTAAATATTTATCCAAAGAAGAATTGTCTATACCGATCAGACCCCCATAGGGTCTCAACTTGATAGCAACATCGTAATTTATATCATTAGTAGTTGAGAAGAAGAACAGTGAACATGCAGCTAGGAAATAAATTCGACGGTTGGTGTTTTCCGGATAGGTTTTTTTCAAAGTAATAAAAATTTCATGAATAATTTCCAAGTCTTTTGAAGTAACTCTACGTTTTTAGATTTTCATTTTTTTAAAATTTTTCCAGCACTTCTCCGACCTGCTGAATTTCAAGCCAGTGGAAATGAAAGTAACCTTCTAGATACCACTTACTCACTCCTATTTCTAACTAATGATTTCAACCTATTTTCATGTGTTTAGATGGACATTCCCCTTGGTGGTCTCCACGAGTCACCCATTGATTTGCCTTATGTGGGACCTGGAACTCACGAAGGCAAAAATATCTTTGGTGTGACCGTAGAGTTTACCCCGGCCACCACTGCAGCGAATTTTAAGCTGCATTACATTGAGGTTGCATTTGAGAAAAAGGAGGGCATATTTGAATATGTGTGTGTTGATGTGGGGAGCATGGAAAATTTCTGGCTGTGCGAGTCTCTGGGTGCGGGATTCGAGAGTACTGAGTGGCGCTTCAAATTTCAAATGGAGCGTCTAGTCAGTATTCTTCATGTCCCTTGGTCGGATCCCGAAGACGACATGCGGATGTGGCCGTAAACCCTTCCTCTGCTCTCCTATCCGTACTCTTGTTAACATTCCGTTTTTATTTTATTTTTTCTTTTTTTTATATGTTACTTTATCTATTATTTATCAAGTCCTCTTTACCTTCTTACCCTCTTATTATTTGTCACGTCCTTCCTCCTTCTCAAGCAGGTCAGTTTTTTAATGGGGTCTCAAACTTATTTAGTTGAACAGTGGGAAAGTTTGGAAGGGATTAAATTTAACCACCGCGCGAAAATAAATACCAAAGTATTTTGTCTGTCGGGTGTCCTTAGAGAGGGGTCTTTTTATTTCGGGCAGGGTACTTTGGGGTCTTTAAAAAAGATGGGTCCTTTTGGACCCTACTTTTGGTAGGACCCCAAAGACCCCTACCGTCGAAAAGACCCCCCCCCCCTAAGGACACACGGCGGATTACAATACTACTGTCGCCTTATCATTTTTGAGAGAATCAACTCACGTTAAATTCAAACGCCTTCAAATTCTTTTTCTCCGTTTCTTTTCAAAACTTTTTAATGAAGTTGAAAAGTTAATGAAAATTTATTACTCAAAAAATTTGACTTCTATTTGAAGATCAGTTGATTAACTATTTCCAGTAAAAATTCTAGCATGTCAAATAGATTTGACGCTAAAGCACTTTGATAAACAACAAAGTTTTTTTATGAGAGTCTTTATATTACTACTTGCCCTACCCTACTTCCTCCTAGCTATTTCAGTAGCCTGCCCCACCTTGAAAATGCGGATGACAGTTGGACCCCTTCAACTATGACCGAATTGGGATTTGAACCCACGACCTTCATATTAAACTCTGTACGTCTTACCCACTCGGTAAAGGCCGATCTCCCAAGAGAGCCTAGCCATGCGTCGACTCAATGCATGCACTTTTTAGTTAAGTACAAAACAAAGTTCCTTATGGGCAAAAATGTTTGACACAGGCGAAGCTGCGCTTCGCAAGCAAAAGCGCGGAAATGCAAAAAAGAGCTCTAAACAGGCAAAACAAAGTGAAACAAGGCAAAAGGAAAAGACTAAAAATACCACTTGAGAAAAGTTTTTTTTTGCTGAGATTAGGAGTATCACGTTCTCATATCTGCTCCACAATGTAATTTTACTAACACTACTGACCAATAAATCAGCTACAGTTTCTATCAAATTGCCAATGCTATGTAGCAAAAATTCGACCGAAAAAAAAACTATTTCAATGTTCCAGATGTGAATCTCCGACCGGTTGATTTGGATTCTCACGTCCTGGTATCTGCGCCACGGTTGCTTGGAAGTAAACTAATGGCCCGGCTGGATGCACCTGTTTTAATATTTTTCATCATTTTGTACTGATATGGAAATAGGTAATTTCAAAAATTGCAAAAAAATTCTCGGCAAAGTCTCTTATGCAGAGAAAAAATCAACACTGATAGAAAAAAAATCAATTTTAGTCTTATATGTTCAGTCTTATGCAGAGAAAAAATCAATTTTAGACTGAACACCTATTATCAAATTTAGCTAGTAGTTTTTGACGAGAGTGATGAAATTTCTAAAAATGGTGAAAATTTCATGAAACGGATTGGAAGTCCAGATCGGATTTTCTACAAATAACTAAGGTGTAGGAGATAACGCAGGCAAAATCAACGCACCATGTTAATTTGTTTAAGTATCAACCTCAGATATGTCAGGTTAGTTTTTGGAAAAAAAAGTTTCCAAAAAAAACTGGCAACATTTCAAAATCGGACCATTTCCAAAGCCATACATTTTTCAGAAAGTAAGGCATAGACTCTTGCACAGAGGAGTAGCAAAACCGTTTTCTTTTGCTTTCGGTTAAGCCCTTAATCTCCAACTTTGCAGGGTATTTTGAGAAAATCCGAAAAAAATATCCAAATGTCGAAAAATGGGATGTTTGAGGCCAAAACTTTTTTCTACCAAATTTAGGGTACAGCCGCTTGAGCAGGGAAGATTCCCATGATATGTTCTTTTGATTGAAAGTTTCATCTATTTGAAACTTTGATTGAAGCTTTTAGTATTTGAGAAAATGAAAACATTAAAAATCAATTAGGTCAAAAACTCCCCTACTGAAACTTTCGAAGGCCGTAGAACTTTCGTTAATATGAAAAAAGACTAGCGAAATATACATGCACATAGAATAGCAACCGATTTTTCTATTGGTACCATTTTTTTGAAAATCAGTATAGTCATTTTTCAGAAAAATTTAAATTTCAGTGGAAAGAGCGAACATTTTTCAAAGCGTCGCAAAAAAAACAACAAAAAACAACGAATCCCATAAATTTTTATATACCCTGTTTTTTTTCAAACAGGACCTAACACTAGCCAAAAAAGCAGCAACATATGCTATTATATTGCCTATGCTTAATTAAGAGTAAAAATGATTAAATTGAAATCTACCAAAAGTGCCACCATAAGAGCACTTTTATTTGCGACTTTAGTTGGAAAATTTTTTTCCCAACTAAATACACTACGCTTTGCTTGTGTAAAGTTGGAAGAACTTCGCTTTTGCAAGTTTAAATTTTGTATAGATATGTTATATTTAATTATATAGAGGGGTTTCGGAAAACATCTAATGAGGTTTGGTAGCAGCATATTTGTTGAGACATTTTAAGATGAAGCAAAATCAGATGGTAAAAACGTGTATCACTATTACTTCAATTAAATGTTTTCATCTGAACACATAAGAAATCTAGAAAAAAATCGAGTAAGAAGCAAAATCAAGTAGTGTACCATTGTATGAGGCCATAGGTTGAATGTAGTTAGCTGGAACATAGAACTCATTCTGTTCATTTGTCACTGGTGAGACTAGCGACCACTCAGCATTTGAATTGTCCTTCAGCAGAAACACATCCCCACTCTCGAAAGATACTTCATTCCCCTCTTGTGGACAGTAGCTGTAGGGGTACAGGGCTACGTAAAACGTATCCATTTGCCACAGGTTGCCGTAACTAATTGCAAGTCTCCTTCGTTCGCTCGCTATTTTTCAGTTTGCAACTAACCGTGTAAAATGGCCAAATCATTGCAATGTTATCACACCAGCGTGAACAGGACAAAATGTAAAGTCTGAAATTGATCAAATTTGATTAATAGTTTACTATGATCAAAAGACTTGACCGGCTATCAGTTTGGTGACCATTAGCCGCCGTTCTCGGAATGACACCAATAGGATCAGCTAATAAGTATAGGGCGAATATCAATAAGTTTTAATTAACTGTTTCTATCAAAACAAATTTGCAATTATAGAGTAAAATAGAATAATAGACTAAGTTTACGAATCAAACTAAGTATTTCTATTATGATCCAGATTACTAGTAGAGTCCGTCTCAGGGGAAAATTGGTCATGTTTTAACAGCTTCACTTTGGAGGCGCACAATCAAATAGCTCATATTGTTAAGTTTGATATGATTAAACAAGCAAAAAAATGAAAACAAGTTTGATATGAATAAACAAGCCAAAAAATGAAAACAATCAAAAAAGTTCCCATTTCAACGTTTGCAATCGGGGCGACTGAGTTTCGGAAATGAAACTAAACAGAATATTCCTCAACCTTTTCTCTTTTCGACTTTTTGAACTTGATGATGGCTTACTACTGTCGAGGGTTTTTGTTTTGCCCGAGGTTGACGGAGATTTGGTTGGACTTTTGGTTTTTCGTTGGGCCTGTTCTTTAATCTTTGACTGAACCGCGTGTTTGGCATACTTGTTAATAACAGACTCTTCGGTAAGTTCGAGAGCGGATAAAATCATTATGTAAGCAGGGTTGTGTAGTATTTTAGTTTGCTGTTGTATATCATACAAAAATGATGCTGCTTTGAGACCGGTTGGTACATTGTCAACATAAATTGTTTCATCCATGGCGTTTATTGAGACTCGAGTTGAGCTTTTGATAACCTCCAGGATATTTTTAGCTCTCGTGAATTTTTTATCCTCCATTATTTGCAATTGTAATAGAATGCGTTCATAGTTTATATTATTATCCTTTCGCTCCTTCTCATCCACAATCCGCTTCTCCTCTTCCTCCCCACCTTCCTGATATTGATTAGTCTCATCTTCTGTAAGAAGTCCTGTTGATTGTTCCCCAGGGTCAACAATAGGCGTTGAGGGAGGTGTTGGGGGAAGGGGTAGTGGAAGAGTTTCAGTCGATACTGAGTTATGCTTCGTGGGTATTAGAGGTCTCATGCGGTTCAAGTAAGATAACTGGGGCTTTTTGTGTTTAATTGAACTGTTAAACAGCACTTGTGATGCATGCGGTTGCTCACGGATATATGTATGTTTTGGAATTAAACCAAACTCTTCTGCTGCCATGTTTTATGCTGATGGTAAGTATCTGTTGCAGAAGTAAAGTATCAGTCTGATCAAGTTGAAACCTTGTTTCGTTAGAATAATTGCTCGTTTTCGTTCAAGTTTTGTTTTTCGGCTGATTAAAAGTTTGTATGCCTTTTCGAAATTTTCAATGTTTGGAATATTAACAGATACATTGCCATTGACTACATTGAGCAAACATTCACATATAACTGAAATAACTTGAGGATTTGTTGTTTTTCTAATGAAGCTTCGGAGCTGGCTGGGATTCAATTGTACCATGTGCTGCAGAATAGATAATTTTTTCGCGTTCATTTGTGAGAGGTGTAACCTCTGCCTGATTTATTGGTAAGTAAAAAATTGAGGGACCAGGTGGTGTAATGTTTGAACAATATCTCAAACAATCGGATGTACGCGGATCCAAGTCGATTAAAAGATGACCGTATGTGTCTTTTGTAGCGAGCTGATAACAGTGTCTCAAAAATTTAGTGTTGTTCAATTGTCTTCCAAGATGATCAAGTTGCTGAATATCACGAGGTGATTTGAACAGAATGATGTGTGATGTGTTTAAATCAATTGTTCGAGACCATCTGCTTTGTTGGAACAAATTATGTTTAACATATATTACATCTAGTCCTCGGTGTCTTCCTGCTGTTGCAAGTTTGACAAAGTCTTTATCGTTATAGATTTCTTCGCATGAATCATCAAAAACTAGAAGAATGTTTTCAAGGTTTCGCAAACTGTCAAAGCCATTGAATTTTATGAAAGTTAGATCAATGCTGTGGGTATTGGATTTTTCACTATAAAGAGGATGAATCTCTTTGTAAAAGTATAAGGCTCTTTGAAATTTGGGATAAAATGTTTTTCCTTTCAACAATTTGAATATCAGCTCTGTTTTTCCAGAACCCGAGGGGCCCACGATGGCTAAAAAAAGTCTCGTAGATGTATCAATAACTTTATTCATATTCTTGGATTTGGTAATACATAACCAACTAAACCCGATAAAATTGAAAACCAAACTGAGGTTTCTTCACAAGTTAACTGCGTTAATGAAAGTTTAAAAATACAAAAAGCCAATAAAATCAGAATTAACACCATTTGTGACATGAAAACTACTTCAGACCGTGGTACATTCACGTTATTGCAAAATTTCCATGATTTTTTCTCCATATGATTTTCGTCATACACAAAATCGGTAACTATAGTTCCATCAGTCTCGTCAACTACTGTGTCATTCATTTCAATTTCCCTACCGCTTTCCCTCACTCTCGAACTTGCAGAATGAAAAATATATATCATATATAAAAAAAATTAATTAAGCATCTGAACAGTAATAAATTTCATATCGTGTATAACCTGTATAGACACTCGGTTTATTATCATCATCAAAATCATAGTGCATTTCCAAAACATAATTGGCTGGGACATGATCAGTTTTGGCATGATACACAATTTTCTTCACAGAATCTTCTCTTATTATTTTTTGAATCTCATTGGGTAGTTCACTGCTGGTTAGATCCATTTGAACTCCTGGTTGACGTTTGGGCACTAAGACTAGCTTGGGAAGACAAAGACCGCGCTTGCTGGGTAACATTACTGATGTATTTGAATCGTTGAAAGTAGATGAATTGGTCAATCACGGGGAAGAACCTCCTCAAAGTGCACAACTCTTCTTCAGAAAGTGTAACTTGTTCTTTTCGTTGAACTACTTGGCCTCTACAATCAATGCGTTCAATCCTGGTCAATGAAATCTTTATGTTACTTTCTGGTGTCATCCAAGCACAAAGAACTGAATTTGGAGATATGTATGTCTCCACTTTCCCCTGACGCTCGTTGTTGACACTCATTTTTCAACCAATCAAAGAACGCTTTCGACTTTTTTAATGCACAATGATTTTTAGAGTTATGGTGCGGTAGGTGTTTGTTACAATTCACAAAATTCTTGAAATATAATTGTTCGACTCGTGGACAGCCCAAATCGTCAAGATTCACAACTTTACGGTCTAAGTATTTGGATAAAAAATCAGCTTTTTCTTTTCCTTTGGCGTAGAATACAGCATTGGGGTTTCTTAAGACAAAACTTTGAATGATTTGGTTCAAATTCAGGTATAAATAATCACCGCTATCCCAATGAAGTCCGTGCAAATAATTTGTCAGCCAGTTGTAGGCTTTTTGTTCAGATTTTGGAAGGGAATTGAAATTAACTGGAGGTAGAAAAACTAGGGAATCACTGTAGTCGGAAGTTGTTATAGCTAATTCTTTTACTATAAATGTGTTTTTCTGGTGTCGAAATCCCTCAAAATCCACCACAACTGATTTTTCCTTCAGCATTCTAATAAATGGTAGAGTTTCGGTTTTTTCAGTTTGATATACAAACAAAACGTAATTCCACTCAAGTGACCAATCAAACTACTGTTGCATTTCCATGGTAAAACATAGCAGTATGTGGGACCAGTGTTATAAACTTCGCGGACAAAACCGGCGGCATCGTGTAAAATAGCATGCATTCGTAAAATTTTCGAATCATTTAAATATTTATCCAAAGAAGAATTGTCTATACCGATCAGACCCCCATAGGGTCTCAACTTGATAGCAACATCGTAATTTATATCATTAGTAGTTGAGAAGAAGAACAGTGAACATGCAGCTAGGAAATAATTTCGACGGTTGGTGTTTTCCGGATAGGTTTTTTTCAAAGTAATAAAAATTTCATGAATAATTTCCAAGTCTTTTTAGTTAAGTACAAAACAAAGTTCCTTATGGGCAAAAATGTTTGACACAGGCGAAGCTGCGCTTCGCAAGCAAAAGCGCGGAAATGCAAAAAAGAGCTCTAAACAGGCAAAACAAAGTGAAACAAGGCAAAAGGAAAAGACTAAAAATACCACTTGAGAAAAGTTTTTTTTGCTGAGATTAGGAGTATCACGTTCTCATATCTGCTCCACAATGTAATTTTACTAACACTACTGACCAATAAATCAGCTACAGTTTCTATCAAATTGCCAATGCTATGTAGCAAAAATTCGACCGAAAAAAAAACTATTTCAATGTTCCAGATGTGAATCTCCGACCGGTTGATTTGGATTCTCACGTCCTGGTATCTGCGCCACGGTTGCTTGGAAGTAAACTAATGGCCCGGCTGGATGCACCTGTTTTAATATTTTTCATCATTTTGTACTGATATGGAAATAGGTAATTTCAAAAATTGCAAAAAAATTCTCGGCAAATTCTCTTATGCAGAGAAAAAATCAACACTGATAGAAAAAAAATCAATTTTAGTCTTATATGTTCAGTCTTATGCAGAGAAAAAATCAATTTTAGACTGAACACCTATTATCAAATTTAGCTAGTAGTTTTTGACGAGAGTGATGAAATTTCTAAAAATGGTGAAAATTTCAAGAAACGGATTGGAAGTCCAGATCGGATTTTCTACAAATAACTAAGGTGTAGGAGATAACGCAGGCAAAATCAACGCACCATGTTAATTTGTTTAAGTATCAACCTCAGATATGTCAGGTTAGTTTTTGGAAAAAAAAGTTTCCAAAAAAAACTGGCAACATTTCAAAATCGGACCATTTCCAAAGCCATACATTTTTCAGAAAGTAAGGCATAGACTCTTGCACAGAGGAGTAGCAAAACCGTTTTCTTTTGCTTTCGGTTAAGCCCTTAATCTCCAACTTTGCAGGGTATTTTGAGAAAATCCGAAAAAAATATCCAAATGTCGAAAAATGGGATGTTTGAGGCCAAAACTTTTTTCTACCAA